AATTTATCATCTACACTACAACCTCTTCTCAACAGGAAAACAAAACCTTAAAATAATATGTCCTATGCAATTTGTGGGACTCCAAATGGCAACTCAGTTTTGGTCATGTCATATTTAAGACAAGCTTCTCAAGTAGACTAATAAACGTCTTTCATCGTCATATGTTAAGAACTTTCCTGAATGTTTAATCAAGCTCGAACCTACTGTTTTGCTTTGTTGTGTTTTTTGAGACAGAGTCTCACTATGTAGTCAGGCTGGCCTTGAACTTACTACGTAGCCCAGGTTGGCCTCAAATCCTCAGCAATTCTCCTGCCTCAGCCTCCCAGGTGCTGGGATTACAGTTGTGTGCCACCACACTCAGCTCGAGATCAAAACTATTGATACGTTTAGAGACAATCCATCTTTTCCTGCAAAAAAAACTTTGGCAAAAATCTCAGAATCATTTTTGTCCAGTATTTACTCATAGAAAAACTACATTTTAAAATTGTAAGATTATTAAGTATATTTCACACTCTTTCTAAGGTTCAGAGAATACTTTTTAAAGTGGAAACAATTGTTCTAAATAAAGAATGGGCTTAGAAGTCTATACTTTGAAGATTCTAACTTTCTTAAAACAGGAATTTTGATTTGAAGTACTTTTTTAAAGAATCTTAATACAAGAAAAAAAGAATCCTGTCTTTCCCCTATTTTTTTCCCCTAGTTCAATCCACAGCTTACAGTGGGTGCTTGACAAATGTTGTTGATGGACAAACAGAAAAAAATGTTTTCTCTTTTGCTCTGCCCCCCTTTCAATCTGTTTCCTGCACTGTAGCCAAAGTGGCATTACTAAAAGATACATGTGATAATATCACCCATCTCCACACTATACCTTGCATTCCTTTTTCTTCACTGTCACCAATAAATCCTTCCAAACCTGGCCTCCATCCTCTCTTGAGTATGGATTAAGAGCACCACATGGAAGGGCCTTCTCTCAGTAGCTTGAACAAGCTAAGCCACTTGAATGACTTCCGTACCTCTGCCTTTACAATCATTCTCCTCCACCTCTTCATGGCCACATCCTTCTCATATTTCAGATCTTAGTCACTACTCAGCAACATTTTCCTGAATTAGGTCAGCTCACACTATTTTAAATTCTCTCACTATCACACACCCATTCTTCAAAATGTATACCACCATTTTAAGTTTCCATTTTTTTTTAAATGAACGTAATCTTCACTCGCGTATAAGGTCTATAAACACAGAAAACACTTCTAAGTTTACTCAAAATATTATTGCATGAACCTAGCAGTCTGACACATACAAAGCAATCAATATTTGTTGAATAAATCAATGAATGAGTGGATACGGTTGACTAGCCACAGAAAACAGGGAATTTATTAAATGATATTCATCACACTGCCATATTCAGCGATGTTAAGCAATCATTTGTAATTCTGGCTATTTAAGTAGAAAGAATACAAGAATGTGACATGGTCTAGTATGAATTTTAACACACATAACTTCAAAATGCATGGAACCTGGACTTGGAAATCCTAAGTACATGCATAACCTAATTTCTTATTGGTTGTCTTTTTATTCTTACTTCTAAACTGGATAGCCATGGAATTCACTAATTCCTTTAAGCTCTGAGGAAAGTCTTAATATTCCTAAGTAGAAACTTATTAAATAATAATGGTGCAGGAGCACTTAGAAGAGTATGATTCACTGAAAAAGCTATGTAGCCCATAAGCATCCATCACTCAGGGAAGATGACATCCCTGGACAGCTGAGTTCTGAGGATGACTCTCAGGGTCAAGGAAGACAAGTGATGCATACATTAGCTCTGTTCCTACAACCATTGTTATATGTACTTATTAAATAACATCTGAACCTGAAAAAGATGTCAACCTGAAGGATAAATCTTATTCAGAAGATATTACGATGTAAGACTTGTGAATAAAAATGTTTATGTTCTTTTCCAAGCCCTGCTAGGAACCTGGTCATTACATATAACTTATGCTGTGTTCTTTCTCCATCATCACAGGAATAAATAGATAAAATTTGCTAGGTCCAAATAAACAGAGCAAGGATAAAAATGAACTCATTCAATAAAAATATTCTAGAAACTCACAGGTATGTAAATTGTTTCAAAGGCACTCTTGGGAGGGTGTTAAAAAGAGAGGGCTTCCTTACTGTAGCCTTCCTGTCTTTTTAGCACTTACTGAATTTTAAATATGAAAGCAACTAAAATATTAGACTTTTAAAATTTAAAAATATATTGTAGTTATGATCAAAGATAATTTCAATTTATCTTTAATGCTTGCTTGTCTATAGTTTTTCTTCTCCTGGATTTTCTCTAATGAATGTATATTTATTTGTTTTTTAAATTAGTTTTTAAAAAGAATGTGGCAATCAGTGTAAACACTGACTAGAGGCAGGGCTTTGTTTATACTTCGTCTGAATAAAAATCATCTATCCCTAGTGGGGTCAATGCATGATCAGTGTTGGGAGAGGCATTCACTCTCAATTAATTATTCAATAGTCACTTGACACACATGAAACAAGGAAAATAAGCAAAATGGAGCCAATCTTTCCAGCAAGACAGACTATGCTTTTATCACTCCACCTTCCATGTCTGTGATAATAAAAAAAAAATCCAGCCTTTTGTTTTCCTTCCATGACTGTTAGGCATCTTTGTACTGTTCATCAGGTCAAGTTTTCAAAATGAATCAATGCCTCAGAACAAACAATCCTGGTGGATTTTCTTTTCTGGGTTGATTTTTCTTACACATACGTTACCATATTGCTCCAATATGCATCTTGACAATTCCAAATTATTCATCTTATAGAAAGAACTATCCATTTACCAAAATAAAATGCATTTAAAAGACATCTAATTCTATTTCTCTTTAAAATTACTTTTTCCATGTTTTCTCCACTCTTAAACGATCCTGATTATGCATGATCCCTGAATCCCTACATTAAAATGCATAGAAAAATAAAAAATTTCATTTAAAACACCCTCCCACACGTACAAGCTGTCATTGTGTCATATTTGTTTCCTAATTTAAGGAAGGAAGTTACATTTCATTAAATTCCCTTCTTCATCATTTAAAGTGGCATTAGGATACTTAGAGGAATATTTTCCTACAAAATAGTATTTTTTTTGTTTCTAATAATCAGTGCAAAGGTATGCAATTTCAAATTATGCTACTGAAATCATCACATCTATTTTGCTCACAATTTACAATTAAGGTCGATTTTGAAGAAGAAAAAATAGTGTTTTATTTTTGTAAAACATAAAGTCTCATCTTACATCTGTGGAAATTTACTGGCAAAGCTGAAGTGCAGCATGGGCCATGGAACACAGAGTCATCTATAATTACTTAAGGTAAAATATACCTAAAAGACAAAACCTACATGAAGTCAGTGCTTAATAAAATAACCCTTAGCTTTTTTTTGGTTTTGTGGGGGGTTTTTTGCTCCTTACTCTCATGAAGGCTACAGAACACTCTTAACTGCTTTTTTCTTTTCCTAACTAACTCCCTTTGCAATTACAAATTTTATCAAGTCTTCATTTCTCTTAAAGTCAAGTGAGAGGGAACTGCCAAGACTAATAAGATTTACAAAGGCTAGTTCCCCTTAGCGATGTCAGCAGAAAAAACAAAGACATTACACAATAAAACAACTACACATAGATCTTTTGTCCCTATAGCTTTCAACACCAGATTTAATAATTCACCTTTTCCCCTATTTCAGCCACAAATGCCATTTATCCCTGCGATGATTGCCTTGATCTGACCTATAAGTTATCTATCTACTTTAAACCCTGACATCTCCTCTCCTGCACAGCCAGAGACATCCAAGTTTCACGCTTTTCATGTCACTCCCTCAGTTTCTGTTCATATGCTTTTCTGTATTTATACAACAATATCTTCCTTGCTCAGTGTCTGGTAACAACATGGAAGAAACACTCAGAAGCTTAAATTTTATTTGTGAAGGGCTGAAAATAAAAGTTAAGTATGCTTTTTTTTGTCGCTCAAGTCCACAGTTTCAGGCCCCAAGAATCACAAAAATTACAGCTTGGCTTCTGCTATTCACATAGATGTCGTTAGCTGAACATCCTTAGGAAATCTCTTGCCATTGCTCACATGTATCCTGAGTATTAGCCTGAAGAAATTTCCCAATCCAGCAACATCTAAATGTCTCTATCTCTCAAGGCATTTGTTAATCAAGAAATACGTTATTTAATCTCTAACATTTCTAAACATTACCTGACCTGTCTCACGCTTCAAAATGAAACTCAACAGAAATCACAAATTTTTACTTAAATATGACAAATGGTGGACTTGGATATAACCAAAGAAACCAATATTATTTCCAAGAAAAACCTCCTGCTCCTGAATAAAGTCTTCACATCCCCTCATTCTTTTTCCACAATCAAGAGCAGGTCTTTAGACTCCATCTGAGAACATGGGGCTGTGCCTGTGACCCTGCGTCTTTCCTGCCTCCACACCAGGAACATGGGGTATTCTCCAGCGTGACCCTGGGGCCTGCTTGAGCTTCACTTTTCACCACTTGCGTGCTCCATCTCTTAGATACTTGTCCACACCTTATGCCCAAATTCTCCATCAGGGGCTAACTGGCAGCCGAGGGGAGGACAGGGGTCAGCCAGGCTGGCTAGAGCCCGGTAAACTGGGCTGGCTGACCACCGCAACCCAGGGACGGAGGGGTCTTTCTGTTTGGACTTGGAAGGTGCACCTTGCAGATGCCTGTGTGCACTCTATGGAGTCTGTGTGTCATGACTTTGGTGGTAGCAGAGAGCTGAGCCATGGTCCTGTGGATACAGGGGCCAGCGAGGCACAGTAGCCCGGGAATGGAAAGGGCCGCTTTGCATGGACTTGGACTCCTGGGGCGAGACTGTGCCCAGAAGTGCGATGTGGCTCCTGAGAGGACGAAGGAGGGGACGACGGCCCCTGCACCGCCCTTCCCGCGTCCCGCCCACGGCGCGGGGCCCTTACCTTGGCTGCAGTCCTCGCCGCGGAAGCCAGTCCGCGAGCAGTCGCACACAGCGCGGTCGTCCACCACCGAGCACACCCCGCCGTTGAGGCACACGCCGCCCGCGCCCTCCTCCACTTCGCAGGGTCCCCCGCCGCTGGGCTCGTCGTCGTCCAGCCGCACCTCGGCGCCGTCCTCGGGCAGCGTGCGAGCCGCGTCCACCCGCACGTCGCGGATCCAGCCGCGGAAGGGCGCGTGCTCGCGCACCGAGGCGCGGGTGAGCTTGAGGGCGGCGGCGCGCAGCTCGGGCGGCAGCCCCCCTACGAAGAGCCCGCTGAAGACCGTCATGTCGCGGCGCTTCGACTGCACCTCCACCCAGCGCGCCTCCACGCGGTCGATGAGCAGCGTGGTGTTGCGGAACTGGCGCCGCAGGCGCACGCGGTGCCACGCGCCGTCGTTGAGCGGCGTGTCGGCCAGCAGCGTGGCGGGCTCGGCGCAGAAGATGGAGAAGCTGAGTTGCAGGCGGCCGCCGCGCGTCAGCACCAGCTCCAGGAAGTCGCAGAAGCCCTCGTCGTCGAAGTAGAGCACCAGGCCTCGCGCGGCGCGCGTCTTCAGCTCGAAGCTGAGCTCGCTCTCGCAGCATGCGTTCCACTTGGGGAAGCGCGTCCACTGGCCCTCGGCGCCTGGAAACTCCAGCCCGCTGCCCAGCTCGGCCCAGCAGCCCAGCAGGAGCAGCGCCAGGCACAGAAGCGCGCAGCCCCCACGCTGCAGCAGCGCCGCGCCCATGCCGGGGGCCGGGGGCCGGCGGGGCGGCGCCGGGGCCGGCAGCGTCGGGACAGGCCGGGGCGGCGTGGCGGAGACGCTTGGGCGGGCGGGCGCCCTCCTGTGGCCTTCTCCTTCTGCTCCTCCTCCAGCAACCCCTTCCTCTCCCCGGATGGTCCCCGTGCGCCTGGAGCACGTGGACCCCGGTGGTAGAGGGCAGCCGCGGGGCTTCCAGACCACAGGCAGGACAGGCTGTGCAGACCGCGCTGTGAGTGTCAGCAGAGGGTCAGTGGGAGTCACAGCTCCATTGGTGTCCCGGGACCTAGTTGAAGAGCGTCTGTGACGTGGACTTGTCAAACGCAGACATCTGCCAGATAACCCCAGTGTGGCACGAGGCAGAAAGGAGGGGGAAGTCAGAAGCAAACTCTTTTCTCAGGGAACTTCGAGAAGCAAGCGATGAGCCAGTATCCTGGGATTCTTTGAATGCTTCAACTGGCTCCCCTGGGAGGTAGCGTCCCAAAGCAGAACGGAGAAGGGGGCTCTGTGCCTCTTCAGGGGGCTGCTTTTCAACCCCAGGGTAGCGTCAAAGGCCTGTCTCTTCTGTCGTTATCATGGGCCTCCGGCGCAGAAAACGCTGAGAGAGCCACATTCCTTGTGCTTGGCCTCCCGGGCTGGAGTTCACTTTTCTTTTTAACCTCCCCAACAATAGGTCTCAAACCCAGAAGTTGTCAAATAGCCGGAAGCTGTTAGACCTCGGAATCACAAGAGCTCCTCTTCTTTTCTCCGACTCTGCAAGGCCAAGCTAAGAGGTCAGCGTGTCAATTGCTTGTGTGTTGGCGATGCATTTTGGTTTTGTCTTTATAAGGACCCGGAAATCTGCAGAAAATTAAAATCAAAATTAAGATCTAGAGTTAATTACAGTATCATAGAAGTCATTATTGCAGCTCAGAAAACAAGAATGAAACTAGTGCTAGGATAGTAGTAAGCAAAAGAATTAAGCTTGTTAGATGGAGCATTTTTTTTGTCCTAACCTACTAGTAAAGCCTAATGTGTCTTAATACTTAATATCACACTCTTACAACAAGCTATCACACCCTTGTAGTTTACTCTGTTAATTGTTCATTCAGGTTTTAGGTAGAAATTTGATTATGACCATCTTTTACCAAGAAAGTTTAATTTTTTAAATCTATGAAGAGAGAAAAAGGCCCTTTTAAAAACAGGATTTATAACTATATTGTGTGCCAGTTTCGTGGACAGAATACAACCTACTGAAATATTAGTGATAGCAAATTTTACAATAGGCAAAGTAGATCAAACTGCAGGAAGCTGCCACCTTAGGTTTGTATAACATTCCTATTATATCATTTTTCAGAATTTTGATGGGTTCTTGAGAGTCCCTAAAAATTTAAGCAAGTATATTCCTCCTTTTCATTAAAGAGATAATCTATTATAGGAGAAAGCATGTAATTAGAGCCACATATGTGGGTGTATTCTAGTAATATTTTGCCTCAATTGCCATATCAGCTTTTCTAAAGATAGGTACGATATTTAATATTTTGCCCAACCATGAAGTGGTCCAGCTTTTCCTCAGGCCTGTGTCTGGCTGTCAGTCCGCAGAGTCTGTCGTCAGACCAGCAGTTCTCATCATGTATGTCACCTCAGATGCCTGGCTCCGGGACAATAGGATTTAAAACTAGACCTTTGAATCACTCACTGTGCTATTAAATCACTGCTCTTTATGCCACTCTAATCTGACAAGTTCTTGAAACACTGTGGAAATCATAAATACTGATTTTTTTTGCTAAGTAATTTTTTAACCAAAAAAATGACTCTCACATCTTGGGGAAAAATTACAAATGTGTTATCTGGTCATATTACTTCCCTCACCATTTCTTGCTGCCTCCCCCATGCTACAGTACACACACACACACGCAAACACATACACACAGTTTATTGCTTGGACACAGAAGCTCACTCTCCAATTAACACTTTTTTTTTTGCTACCAGCTGAAACTGGCAATAATTTATGGCACCGCATTGTGCTGCTGCTCCTCCATGGAGGGAGCTGAGAGCATTTCTCTTCAGTTCAGAGCAATCCCTACAGGTGTCAGCTGAGAGCCACCAAGCCAGGGGATCCCACTTCAAGTTCCTCGCCAGATGAGATTGATGACTGGTTTCTCTCCAACACACACACACACACACACACACACAAACAAATGCACACGCACACGCACTGTCCACCAGCAAAAGGAAAGAAAAATCTCAGTTACTTATTTATCATGGCTGATACATTCCATACCATCAGCAATTACCAGTCATAGCTTGTCGACTGTGCCAAGTCCCAAGAAAGGTGCTCTTAAAATTCATCAATAAGAGGACATTATTCACTGTACTTTCATTTTTTTTTAAAGTAGAGTCAGGAATCTGCTAAATGTTCAGTAATTTGCAAAATAAATCTAGATTGTTTAGAATCAAGAGTGCTTTTGGGGCCAGGGATTTAGCTCAGTGGTTTCGCTGCCTACTGTGCAAGCTCAAGGACCTGAGTTCAATCCCTGGTACCAAAAAAAAAAAAAAAAAAAGAAAAGAGTGCGTTGAACTCATTCTCAAGCTCCTGTGTCAGAAAACCCTGTTTGCGTGTGCGTGTATGTGTGTGTGTGTGTGTGTGGGTGTGTGACTCTGTTGAAGCTGATTATTTTATTAATCTTACATAAATAACCTTTTTTCACCTCTGTCTCCTGCCCTTCTTCACTAATGCACACCTTGGCAATTTTTAAGGGATGGAGGAGGATAAAGGGGAACCCTAGAGGACTATATCCCTATCATAAGGGAGGTCAACTGGCTCTCCAGTTCTTAGATGAAGCTCATTGTGTGAGAGAGTCTGTATTTACATGGAAGAAGAGGATCCTCTCTAGGTGCCGGAAAGACCTGGTGAGTTCACAAATTAGGGAATGAAATAAAAGGATCAGAAAAACAATCTTACTGCAGCCGAAACTAGAAGCTCTCTAATTCAAAGGCTAACAGCCTCATTAATCTTTTTTTTCATTTCTGGAATCAAAATCATTCCCGAGTCACTGGAAGAATCAATACAGTATGCTCATCGTCTGCAGTTGCATTTATTTTAATGTTTATGGTCACACACGCACGTGCACACACACACCTTTCTTTACACCCTTCAATATATATCTTCATAAAGAACCTGAAATATACGGGAGAAATTTTTTAGAAGTGCCTGTCTTTTTTTCCATAGGCTTTTGCAAAGTACCTCAATACCAGTGCACGCCCAAAATTCTCCCTGGCTTTCCCGCCCAGTCTCTAAGCTGTATCTCTAATACCAGTGCAGTTTCCAGGAGCCTGGAGTCTACACAAATTAAGCATAAGCGTCCTGTGGACGGATGAGGAAGGAGAAGAAAAATATATGTGTATATATATTTTATTGCTTTGATTTCTAACCGACCTGTTCTTTTCATAATAAATGACTGCATTTAGCGTTTAAGTTACTACCCTGGGTCCACCACCTCATCTTCTTGCCATTTAAAAGGCTTCATGCAAAACAACCAAGATCTATGCTCCTCTACCCTCCCACCCCCCATCCTTGCCGTGCATTGGTGGCAGATGCTGGCTCAGTTACAACAGGGAGAGAGATATCCTTCTCCAGCTCGCCTCGCCCCCCCCCCCC